AGTTCCAATGAAGTTGGTTCTGCCAGTTTCTGCTTGTTTCTTGGAGTTTCTGTGGAGAGATATGGCTTATGCTGCCATTTTGCCAGTAGGGTTCTGACTGTAGTTGTTGCTGTTTTAATAATGGTACCAGTGAAATATATGTTCCTGCTACTGGAGAGAAAAGTTGAGATTCCTGAAGTTGGGAATAAAAATACTGAGCCCACCTCTTCCCCCATCTCATCCATAGCTCTCCAGCAAGAAAAAGCCAATCCACCCTGAGAATAAACAATGGCAACCAGAACATTCATAGCCCATTTGGATGTGTTCATGGGGCCTCAAACCTTCGGTTCTTGTCCATGTCCTACCTTTACAGTCTTGCCAGGATTATTTTGTTGGCATGTAGGGCATGTATTGGAAACATTCTCAGCAATTCCCTTAAAACTACCCCCACCGATGTTGGTTCAAGATTGTTGTAAATGTATCTCTGCTAGTGTGGGTAACATAAGAAGCATTTTTGCTAAACGTCATTTGGTTATGGCTGCCTCTTTAAATAATAACAAAGCATTTTAAAGTTCTTTAATTTCTGTCCATTTTATAAGAATTCCTGTAGATGTCAGTGTTCAGTGTTTTCTGTCAATAGAAGAGTCTACCGTGTGAGAAACTATTACATTGAATAGACACCCTAGACCTAAAGCAGGAGCCCTGGTGGCACAGTGGTTAAGAGCTTAGCTGCTAACTAAAAGGTTGGCAGTTTGAATCCACCAGCAACTCCTTAGAAACCCTATAGGGCAGTTCTACTCTGTCCCATGAGTTGGAATCGACTTGATGGCAACAGGTTTAGGCCTAAAGCAAGGAAAGGTTTCACACATATTGCTATTATTGTTATAGCTCTTAGACAAGGTGGTTATGCATTGACTGGAAACCCTGTGGCATAGTAGTTAAGAGCTATGGCTGCTAACCAAAAGGTCAGCAGTTCGAATCCACCAGGCGCTATTTAGAAACTCTGTGGGGCGTTTCTGCTCGGTCCTATAGGGTCACTATGAGTTGGAATCGACTCAACGACAATGGGTTTGGTTTTGGGGTTTTTCTGTTTTGTTTTGTTTTTTTGCTACTTGTGTTTTGTTGTCATATCTGATAGCCCATCACAAAAACCTGGGTCCCACAGCTTCACCCTTACATTTCCTTCTAAGAATTTTATGGTTTTACTTTTCACATTTAGGTCCTTAATCCATTTTGAATTGGTTTTGTGTGTGGTATGAGGGTTGGATCCTAATTCGTTCTGATTTTCCCAGCACCATTTATCAAAGATACTTTTCTTTCCCCATTGGGTGGGTTTAACACCTTTGTTGAAAATCAGTTAACATAGATGTATGGATTTATTTCTGGACTCTCAAGTCTATTCCATTGGTGTATATGTCTGTTGGAGCCCTGGTGAAACAGTAGTTAAGAGCTCGAATCCACCAGTTGCTCCTTGGAAACCCTATGGGGCGTTCTACTCTGTCCTGCAGGATCACTATGAGTTGGAATCAACTCAATGGCAATGGGTTACATGTCTATTGTTGTACCAGTACCAGGCTGTTTTAATTACTGTGGCTTTATAGTATGTTTTGAAGTCGGAGTGTGAGTCCTCCTACTTTATTCCTCTTCTTCAAGATTCCTTTAGCTATTTGGGGTCCCTTGCCCTTCCACATAAAATTGAAGATTAGTGTTTACATTTATGTCAAGAAAGCTGTTGGAATTTTAATGGGGATTACATTGAATTATAGATTGCTTTGGGTAGTATTCACATGTTAAGTATATTAAGTCCTCCAATCCATGGATGTGAAATGTCCTTCCATTTATTTAGGTCTTCTTTATTTTAGTAATGTTTTATAGTTTTCTGTGTACAAATCTTTCACCTTCCTGGTTAAATTTATTCCTAGGTACTTCATTCTTTTAAATGATATTGTAAATGGTAATGTTTCCTTAATTTCCTTTTCTGCTTACTCATTGCTCGTATATAAAAACCCAATGGATTTTTGAGTTTGACCTTGTACCCTGCCACCATGGGGAATCCATTTCTAATAGCTTTATTGTGGATTCTTTGGTGAGGGTGTTCTATATATACGATAATGTCATCTGTGAAAAAAGATAGTTTTACTTCCTCCTTCCCAATTTGGATACTTTTTTTTCTTCTAACTTAATTGCTCTGGCTAGGACTTGCTGATCGATGCTGAATAGCAGTGGTGAGCGTGGGCATCCTTGTCTTGATCCTGATCTTAATGGGAACGTTCTCAGTCTTTCTCCATTAAATATAATGTTAGCTGTAAGTTTTTCATGAATGTCATTTATTATATAGAGGAATTTCCCCTCTATCCATTTTGTTGAGTGTTTTTTTTTTTTTTTTAAATCGTGAGAGGGTGTTGAATTTTGTTAAATGCCTTTTCTGCATTTATTGAGATGATCATGTGGTTCTTTTCTTTTGTTCTGTTAATATGGTGTATTACATTGGTTGATTTTCAAATATTGAACCACCCTTGCATTCCTAAGATAAATCCCACTTGATCATGGTGTATAATCCTTTTACTATGTTTTTTTATTTGGTTTGTTAGTATTTTGTTAAATAATTTTGTGTCTATATTCATTAGGTATATTGGTCTGCTTTTAGACATTTTTGACTGTTTAACTAAACTAGATATTCTTGGAGTGTATATATATATATATATATATATAAAACAATTGAATAATTTTTTGATTAATCTTTAAAAGTTTTCCAAGAGAGGAAAAAGGACAGAAAAAAAAAAGTGAGAAGGAGCTACATCAGACAAATATAAAACTATCACTCCAGAAGACTAATTATGTTTCCACTGCAAAGAAAAAGAAGAACATTTAAACAAAGAAAAGCAGATTCTGATGTATTTAAACATTAAAAAAAAGAGAGTGACATTAAAGCTGATTTAATCAACAACTCAGGCCCTTGACAATTTAATCAAGACCCAGGTTTGATTACCGGCTAGTGCGCCTCATCACCCATCAGTCAGTGTGGGCTTATGTGTTGCTATGATGCTGAACAGGTACAGCAGAGCTTCCAGACTAAGATGGACCAGGAAGAAAGGCCTGGTGATCTACTTTTGATAATAAGCCAGTGATAACCCTATGAATCACCACAATCCAATCTGCAAGCAATCATAGGGATGGCACAGGATGGGCAGCATTTGGTTCCATTGTGCATAGGGTTGCCATGAGTAGGGGCCAACTCCACAGCAGCTAACAACATCTGGTTGCGGGGGAGGGTGGAAAGGGGGCCCTCCTCCCTCCATGCTTCCAAATAGCTAAGACCATGAGTCCAGAGAGCTACTCCAGTTCCTAATACCCCTGGGCAAGTTCCTCCTCCCCAGTCTGAGAGACCCACTGAGGGACAGGCATGCTGCCTAGGGGCACAGGCCTGGCAGGTGTGTGGTGTGACCAGCAGGTGGTGCCAAAGGGAGCCTCCCAAATGTTAGGGGTGGGAGGTGGGGATGGATGACTGGCAGCGAGAAGGTTAGACGTACAAGAGGACTTCCTGGCCAGGCTGGGCAGCAGGAGAAACTGGCAGTGAGAAGAGATGTTGCTAGTGCAGGAGTCATCCCAAAGGGGCTGGTGGGCAGGCCCCATCCTTCCACCTGTGGCATTATCTCCCCCACCTGAGGTCCAGGAAAGTTGACTACCTATCAAAAGGACAGGTCTGGCTTGGTGGGTAAGGCTTTGGGGCCATATTTCTATCACCGTGACTTTGGGTTAGTCTTCTCTTTATCTCAGCTTCCTCTCCACTTTACAAATGAGAGTAGTCCCTTGTAACTGTCTGAAGATTTCAGGGGTACCCCCCCACCACCACTAAGCTCCCTTTTGCCATAAGGAAACAAAAAAAGGTTTAAACGCCCAGAAATGTCTGTTTTATTTGTCAGTGCAGTACAGAGCTAAGGCACAATGTGGGCGCTCCCAAGAGCTTGTGGGTTAGGAGGGCACTGGAGAAGCAAGCCTTCTTGGGAGCTGGGACCACCAGCCACCTTCTTGGCTGGGGGGTGAACTTCAGGTCCTGCCCCCAGCAGACCCAAGGCTGTGTTGAAGAGATTGATGGGAGTCGAGCCGTCAGTAATGAGGGTTGATTTCAGGCCCAGGCTCTGGAGCAGTTTTACCTGGAGGGAGAGAGGAGGAGGGTAAGAAGATGGGGTCACTTCCCTCATCTCCGTGACTGCCTCTCTAGGACAGGCCTCCATCTACTCTTGTCTGACCCTGCAGCTGTCTGCCACCCCATCCTGAAAGGATCAGTCAGTGATAAATGAACAGCACAAGGGAAGCCTGAGGGACTACCTCTCCAACAGCTCAGGATTTCACCCCTTTGCTTGCTCTGTTGCAGCCAGAGTCCTTGCCATTCCTTGAGTGCACCAGGTTTGTGCTCTCTGTGTCTTTTCACTTGGACTCTCTGGTGGGAAACTCCTCCCGATTCCACATACGGCTCAAGGGCTCCGTCTCAGAGTGACTTTACTTAAACTAATTCCAGCCCCCACATCATCTCACCACCCTGCCTGACTTCCTTTGAAGCACTTGTCATAGACTGATGCTGTCCCATCTGTTTGCTGTCTCTCCATGAACTCCAGCTCAGTGTCGGGTCTAGTACAGTGCCTGGCACATAAGGGTAGCACCGTATTTGAGCATGATATGGTGCTCAAATGATACGGGAATCACAATACATGATATAGGGGCAGTTCAATCACTGTCTGACCTCATCTTGCCCCAACATCTTTCTAGATGTTGTGTTTGCCTCCTCAGCTCTGTTTTCTTAGTTCTAGTCTGGTCCCAAGAAGAACACCCATCCCCTCCTACCTTCCCTGATTCTCACCTGCATCTCTGGCCCAGCCACAGCAAGGTCCCTGATGGTGCTGGGGCCCAGGGCCTCTGTCATCTGCTGGAACTTCTTTATCTCCAGCTCACCCAGCTGTTGGGCCCTGCTCACCTCCAGCTCCAGCTGGGCCTGGGCATAGACTAGTTCTAGCTCCCGCACTTTCCGTACCCGCTGGAGCTCAGCCTCCTGGAAAGGAAAAAATCCAGAATTTGTGGAATTGTGGGGCTCCTGGAAAACGCCCAGAAAGTTGCTGTAGCTGCAAGACTAACAGAACTCGGGTGAAGGGGATGGAGTTCTAAACTTGCAGTCAGTTAGGCATGAATCCTGGCTATGCCACCTTTTGGCTGGTGCATGGGAAGCCTCTTAATGTGACCCTCAGGTTCCCATCTGTAAAATGGAGATAATGCCTACTTTGATGGGAGTTCAAGTATTAAATAAGATCATGCATGTAAAATATATGCTATACCTATTACAAAGCTGGCTAATGTTTGAGCACTTTTCTGTTAAATAGGTGTAATAATCCTTACCTTCAAGGAAGGTGTCTTAGTTATCTAGTGCTGCTATAACAGAAATACCACAAGTGTATGGTTTTAACAAAGAGAAGTTTATTTCTTTACAGTAAAGTAGGCTAAAAGTCCAAATTCAGGGTGTCAGCTCCAGGGGAAGGCTTTCTCTCTCTGTTGGCCTTCTCATCAGTGTTCCCCCAGACTAGGAGCTTCTGCGTGCAGGGACCCTGGGTCCAAAGGACACGCTCTGCTCCTGGCACTGCTTTCTCAGTGGTATGAGGTCCTCCTGTCTCTCTGCTTACTTCTCTCTTTTATATCTCAAGGGATTGCCTCAGGACACAATCCAATCTGGTAGATTGAATCCTACTTTACTAACACAACTGCCACCCATCCTCCCTCATTAACATCATAGAGGCATGATTTACAACATACAGGAAAATCACACAATACCAGGAATCAAGGCCCAGCCAAATTGATACACACATTTTTGGGGGGACATAATTCAATCCATGACATAAGGTATTAAGTGAATTGATAGAGGGCAAAGAACTTTGGAAAGTACAAAGTACTTGAATAGGACTTTATATTAGGGTGCCTACTTGGTACCCTACCTGACTTCAGGGACTATAGTGAAAATAGTCAAGACAGACTGATGTGGTGAAAGCTGATAGTACAAGGTATCGGGGCTGGAGAGGAGCCTAGCGCCCAACTTGGTTGCTTATCAATCATTCCCATGTAAAGATTTTTAGTCAATCTGCCCTTATATAGGAGCCCTGAATTTTTTTCTAGGGTCCAAACACATTCTCCACGGCTTAGAATAGAGAAGTAGACATTTCTGGACGCTCACAGGCTACTGTGGAGATAGCTAAGAGTTTGAAGAAGTAGACATGCTCTGGACCCTCAAAGGCTACTAGGGGAGGCAGCTAAATGTTTGGAAAACAAGATAATGCCAGAAGGAAGAGCAAGATGGCAGTATAAAAAGGGGTACACTTCCATCTCCCCACAATAACCCTCCCCCGAAAAAAAAGCAGAAATTGATGGACTCAACAGTCTCAGAACTCTGGAAACCAGGCAAAGGTTTAGGGCATCTCAGTCCATACACCATCCCCTCTTCAGTATGGCACAGCAATCTTGTAGCAGCTGCAGTAACCAGTGTACCCAGACAGGAAGTCTGATGTTGGGGCAGCCACAGCCAGCCCTTAAGGCAGGGAGTCTGGTGTTGAACCAGATGACTACAGCCTCCAACAATTAAAATACCAACAACAATAACAATAGAAGAAGACAAAACCCTAGGGAAGGGGAAGCTGATTTCCAGAGTTACCACAATATGAGTCAAATGTCCTAGTTTCAACAAAAGTCACAAGGTATATGAAGAAATAGAAAAGAATGGCCTATGCAAAAGACCAAAATAAAGTGAAAGAAACCATCCCTGAGGAAGGACAGATAATGGACTTACTAGTAAAAGACTTTAACAATACTAAATATGCTCAAAGAGCTAAAGGAGAATATGGAAAAGAACTAAAGAAAATCAGGAAAATGATACAGGAAAAAATTAGAATTTCAATAAAGAGAGAAAATTTTAAAAAGAACCAAACAGAAAGACTGAAGTTGAAAATTACAGTAACAGAAATAAAAAATTCACTGGGGGGGCTCAGCAGCAGATTTGAGCTGGCAGACGAAAGAATCAGTGAAGGTACGGCAATCAAGATTGTCAAGAATGAGGAGCAAAAAGAAAAAAAGAAGAAACGTGAAGAGGTTCTAAGGGACTTGTGGGACACCATCAAGATGACTAATATATACATTATATGGGCGTCCAAGAAGGAGTAATGAGTAATGAACAGAATGACTATTTGAGGAAATAACGGCTGAAAACTTCCCAAATTTTACAAAAGACATGAATCTACATATCCAAGGAGCTCAAGAAACTCCAAGGAGGATAAACCCAAAGATATACACACTGAGACACATTATTATCAAATTGTCAAAAACCAAAGATAAAAGGAGACTCTTGAGACCAGCAAGAGAGAAGTGAATCATTGCATGCAAGGGCCCATTTCTCCTCAGAAACCATAGAAGCTGGAAGGCCGTGGGAGGAACGTATTTAAGATATTGAAAGGAAAAAACAAACAAAACTGTCAATCAAGAATTCTATATCCAGCAAAATTACCTTTCAAAAATGAGGGCAAAATTAAGACAATCCCAGATAAACAAGAGCTGAAGGAGTTTGTTATTTCAAGATATGGTAAAGGGAGTCCTTCATGTTGAAAAGAAAGGACACTAGATAGTAATTCAAAGACATATGAAGATTTAAAAAAAAAGGAAGATCTCAGTAAAGGTAATTTAATGGGTAAATGTAAAGGTTAGTTGTATTGTATTTTTGTATGGTAACTCTACTTGTTTTGTCTTACATAATTTAAAAGAAAAATGCATAAAATGATAAACCTATGTCATTGGACACACAATGTATAAAGATGAAATTTGTGACAATAACAACAATTAAAAAGCAGGGAGGAAGAGCAGTATAGGAACAGAGTTTTGTATGTTTTTGAAGTTATCAATTTAAACCAGTTTGTTATAAACATAGGATGTTAAATGTAATTCCCATGGTAACTACAAAGAGATATCTAAAATATATATATGAAAGGAAACAAAAAGAGAAATCAAAAAGGCTCACTACAGAAAACCAAGTAAACAAAAACTAGGCAGTATTGAAGGAAATGAGAGACAAAAAAGGTATAAGACACACAGTAAATAAATAGCAAAACAGAAGTAAGTCCTTCCTTATAATTCTTTTAATATAAATGGATTAAGCTCTGCAATCAAAAGGCAGAGATTGGCAGAACGGACAAGAAAACATGATCCAACTATACTATTTACAGGAGACCCACTGGTAGGTTGAAGGTGAAAGGATGGAAAAAATATTCCAATGCAAAGAGCAGCCAAAAGAGAGCAGGTGGCTATATTAATATCAGACAAAATAGACTTTAAGACAATGCCAGAGTGTGTAAGCAGAGTGCCAAAGAACATGGTGCTAACTGGGGCAGAAATAGTCCAAAGATGGAAAAGATCAAAGGGCTGGAATTCTTGGAGGCTTCTTGGAGGGCCTTCAAGGATTAGGAAGGAAGGCATTCCAGGTTGGGCATGAAGGATGAATACACAGACTGGGCAGAGGTAAATTTTGTGGCTAGGAAGGTCAAGGAAGCTGGAGAGCAAGCTTCATATGAGGGGTGAAGTCAAGGTTATAGGCTGGCTAGTGTTTCAGTGACGGCCTTACTGCCTCCCAGCTGTGTGTGAACTTGGGCAGTGTTCTCTAGCTCTTTTTAGAGCTTACTGACACTCATCTTTCAAGTGAGCACCTCAGAAAAATCTCAGACCGTCTTCGTCAGTAACCCACCTCACCCTGCACCCTTCACTGCATTTATCGTCCTCAAGTTCATCTGCCTCTTCAGTCAGACTCGGCTCATTCCAGCAGCACAGGAAAGTGGTACAGCACCCTGGTCAAGAGCAAAGTCTCTGGAGCCAGACTTCCCAAACTTAAATGCACTTACTAGTTACATGACTTTGGCAAGTCATTTCACCTTTGAGTTTGTGTTTCCTCTCCTGTACAACAAAGGACAGTACTTACCTCATAGGGTTGTTGTGAAGATTAAATAATACATGCTCATAGTATTCTCAAGGTGCTTGGCACATAGAAAGCTCAATATAAGTATAAGCAGTAAGCTCTTTGAGGGCAGGAGGTGGTCTGTCTGGTTTACTACTCTGCCCTTACCAAAATTTGGTTTCCTTATCTGTGAACTACTTGAGACTATCATGTCTCTTATAGATTGTTGTGCAAATTAATAAACACAGGTGAAGAATACCCACCCAGCTCCTAGCACTAAGTGGGCACTCGGTAAATCCTCCCCTTCCACAGCCTCGCCTCCACTCACCGTCTCAATGGCCAAGGCCTCCGCTTTCAGCTTGGCCTGCAGGACAGAGCCTTCGCCCTCAATCCGTGCCGCCTCTGCGCGGGACTCAGCCTCTGCCTTGGCTGTCCCGGTGCTCTCCACAGCCGTGCTAGAGAAGGAGGCAGCCTGGTCAGGCAGGACCCAGGAGGAAGCCCTGTCCTCCTCCCTGGCCTTGATTTAGGCTGTAGCAGCTTTCACCTGCCCCCTTCTCCCTGAGTAGCTGCTTTTCCGAGACCCTCGGTACCCTACCAACCTCTTCCTCCTCTAGTTCTCAGTGTACCTCAGAGCCTCCAGCTCCAAGAGTTCCCTGCGAGCTCTTTCAGCTTCTGATTGGTCCAAGATCTTCTGCCTCTCAAGCCGGCCTCGGGCTTCTTGCTCTAGTCTCTGAGCTTCATGCCTGGACAGGAGAGGGGACAGGTAGGATGCTGGCAGGGGGCCAGATCTGGCACATTAGCTCTAATGGAAGGGACCACCAACCTATCTGTTACCCAGGCCAGACCCCCACCCATGGAAGGCCCTCAGGGTGCAAACAAGGGAGCAGTGTGGCTGTTTCCTGTCAGCCAGGTGCATTCTAGGCCCTGGGGGAACACAGCATGATTGAGGCCCTGCTGTCACACAACTTACCTTCCAGTGGGGGCAAGAATAAACAAAGATAATGTCAGACAGTGGGAAGTACCTTGAAGGTAGTAGAATGGGTGCTGTGAGAGCACATCTGGGCAAAGGGCACTGCTTCCCTTGGGGCAGAAAGAAAAAGGCTCTCCAAGGAGGTCATCTTTGGGCTGAGGCCAAAGAAGAAGCCTGCCTTGCAGAGTTCGGGGGGGTAGCATTCTGAGCAGGGGAAGCAGCCAGTGCCAAAGGCCTTAAGGTGGGAACAAGCTTGCATTCAGGAGCAGAAACACTGCAACATATGAGCTAGGAGAAAAGGCTGGAAGGCAGGTGGCAGGGCAGCAGGGCTGGACCTCAGAGGGCACGGAAGGTCACAGAAAGGATCTGGGGTTTTATCATGAACAAGTGGGAAACCACAGGAGCAGGGGTGGCATCTGAATTACACTGAATCTATTGTCTGTTAGGTCGACAAGGGATCCTTTGCAGCAGGCAGACCATTAAGGGTACCATGTGATTCATGTCCTGGCAGTGGGATGGAGATAGGGACCCTGAGAGAAGTTCTGGCCTGCAGTGGGCACTGTGGGCAGCTGGACCCCCAGCCTCACTCACTTGGCAGCTGCCTCCTGGGAGTTGGTGGTGATCTCGATGGCCAACTGGACACTGCGTTGTAGGGCATCCCGAGTCCTCTGGTCCACAGGCTCCACAGACTGCACATCCACGCTGCTGACCACCAGCCCATTTTGGGGGAAGACAGCCCGGTCCCGGGGCTGGGGCAAGTCTTTGCCATCCAGGGTCTCAAAGCCAAAGACAGCAGTGCGGATGATGCGGGCCGAGTTCTTATGGAAGTCATCAAAGGTGACAGAGGCCACAGCACCCCGCACTCGGGATGCGATGGCTTTGCAGGCATCACCTACGAAGTCGGGCACTGAGAAGAGCTTGGCTGTCTCTTGGGGGTCCTTCCGGTCACTCAGCTCAAAGTGCCTGTGAACAAAGAGGCCCAGAATAGGAGAAGCTGTTTTCCTTCAAGAAGTACCTCAACACTCACTGCTGGACAGGGTCTCTAACAATAGAGGATGCTAATTGGTACCAGGCACAGTCCTAAGAAACTTAAGTGTGCTCTCACTTAATTCTTATAGCCATCTTGTGAGGTGGGGAGAAGCATAAGCTCCGCTTTACAGCTGAGAGAGTTTACATGACTGGCCCAAGGTCACACAGTCTGTAGCAAGTCAGAAAGTTGAACCCACGCAGTCTGGCTCTAGGGTCTGTGTTCTTTTTTTTTTTTCTTCTCCCATGGTCTGTGTTCTTAACTATGGGAGCCCCGGTGGCACAGTGGTTAAAGCGCTCAGCTGCAAATTGACAGGCTGGTGGTTCAAATCCACAAGCTGCTCTGTGGGAGAAAGAAGTGGCAGTCTGCTTCCGTAAAGATTTACAGCTTAGAAACCCTAAGGTGCAGTTCTATTCTGTCCTATAGGGTTGCTGTGAGTCAAAATCAACTCAGTGGCAGTAGGTTTGGTTTTGGTTTGGTTCTTAACTATTGTACTATAACCCATTGCCATCAAGTCGATTCTGACTCATAGTGACCCTATAAGACAGAGTAGAACTGCCCCATAAGGTTTCCAAGGGGTGGCTGGTGGATTCAAACTGCCAACCTTTTGGTTAGCAGCCAAGGTCTTATCCCTGAATACGTTAGCACCCCATCTGACTTAGCCAAGAGGTGAGGAACATGTGCTTGGGAGTTGTCAAGCATTATTTCTGTATGTGATTTATCTCCCCTAATTCTAATACCTAACATTTGCGCTCTAACTATGTACCAGGCACTGTTCTAATTCTCATTGCACCCTTTCAACAACCCTGTGAAGTAGGTAATGTTGTTATCCTCGTTTTACAGATTGGAAAGCTGAGGAGAGCACTGAGTCACTTGTCCACGTTCAGTTAGCAAACGGCAGAGCTGGGCTCAGCTCTCTGTGCTCTTGCCCACCCCTCCCCCACACTGGCCACTCCCACAGTTTATTTCCAATTAATCTTTTCATAACCTTGCAAACAAGTGTTTGGCTGAACGCCTGCAGGGAGTTTAGCTTGGATAGCGTCCCACTATTGCATCTCTAAAGTCTCAATCCCTGCCAGTACCCCTGGGCATCACACTGGATCTGCATACACTCCCCATGTTTCCCTTTTGGCCGTGGTATTAAGTCAGGCGTTGGACTCTCATTATGAACCCAGCACTGCAGGCGGCATCTCTCATCCTCAGGGTTCCCCTGGGACGGCACCCAAACCCTCACCAACTCCTCCCCCGCGCCCTTTACCAGTTGTAAGCAAGTTGAAGTTGCAGCCTGGCGTGGTCTGCGGTCTCGATGGTGATGACATCCGTAAAGAAATCAGGCCCCAGCAACAGGCAGAGAGCACGGCGGGAGTGGGGACGCTTAGGCCGCCCGGCCGAGAGGGACAGCACCGTGAACTGCTCCTCAGGTCCCAGTGACACCAGCTCGGGCCCAAAGACCACGCTGCAGAGGGAGCGTGGAGTAAGACATCTAGAGAGCTCTGTGGCCACGCCCCCATGCCCCGCCCCTCTCTCCACGGCCGCCCCCTCTTCCCCACCGGGGTCCTCCGCCCCCGCGCCGCCTCACGCCTCACCGAGCTCTCTTCTCTCGGTAGTCGTACACCTGCACCGCAGCGTTGTGAGGGACGCGATAGCTGACCACACGGGTCTTGTTCCGGGGGGCTGACGGCTTAGGGACCTTAGCTGTTGCCTTCTCACCCCTGTCGGCCAGGGGGTCTTGTCCCTTGTTGAGCAGTTCCTCCACTCCAGGAGGCAGCTCCTTCTCCCACAGGACTTCATCCTGCGTCAGCATGTAGGTGCTTCCAATCACAGCGCGCACCTTGAGAGATGAGGACAGGTCTGATGTTACCAGGGAGGGTAAAGGGAGAAAGACCCATCCAGCGGTCCTGAAGCTGGACTGTTCCAGGGAGGTGGTATAGCATAGTGGTTAAACACAGTCTCTGCTCATATCCCAGTTTGCCATCTGCTATTTCTGCCATCTTGGAAAAGATATCTCACCTCTGTGCTTCACTTTCCTCATCTGTAAAATGGACAAGATAGTGGCTACCTCATTGGTCTGAGAATAAATAACGTTCTATATGTCTAGTGGAGTCCCTGGGTGGTAAAAATGGTTAATGTGGTTGGCTGCTAACAGAAAGGCTGAAGGTTTGAGTCTACCCAGAGGAGCCTCAGAAGAAAGGCCTGGTGTTCTACTTGCGAAAAATCAGTCGTTGAAAAATCTAGGGAGCATAGTTCTACTCTGACACACGTGGGATGAACTGGAATTGACTCAATGGCAACTGGTATATGTCTAGTGCTGGAAACAGCACTTATCATATAGAAAGTGCTCAGTATTATTTCTCCTGGTATTTTCCTTCAAGGGCGAGTTTGGGGGCACCATGGGGACAGATGCAATCCTAGGAAGTAGGTACTATACACTAATACCCCCTTACGATCCTGAGCTGTACTTCTAGGTTGGATTCTTAGTGAAAGAGTTTGGAGATGTGGTCATAATCAGCTCATGGTCAGGTTTTAGGATTTACTTGGGTGAAGTGGTAAGAAGGAAGGACTCCACCAGGATATGGACATGGGAAGGAGGTAGGTTCTTATTGTTCCTAGGCCATACCCCAGTCAGACCTTCATGCTGGGGACCAGATCACAGTGGGGACGGAGTCTCCCACCTAAACCAAGCTCATCCTTTCAGTTGGGATCTCTAAACTTTGAAATTTAAGACCAAGAAAAGGGATGGCAGATACTTCAAGGAACACCCTTGTACCTACCAACCTGCTAAGGTATTGCTGTCAGTGCAGTTGAAGTCCCTTCCCGCACCTCTACCATGTACTTGTCCACTGAAGCATCACCCTGCTTCCCCAGAGAAGTCACTGTGATGGCCGCATAGCAGCAACAGCTGCCCACCCCCCAGCTGTTACCCTTCCGGTCTTGACATCCTGCACGTAGATGCCCTCATTCTCATCCAGAGGGATGGCATGACGCTCTTCCACCACCTCCACCTTGGCGGACGGCACGTACTCCATGGGCCCTCGGATGAGCCAGCGGTCCCCGGCCTGATGCAAGACCTTCTCTTCGTCCTCCCCTTCCTCCAGGGGCTGCAGAGCCCTCAGCAGCAGTCCCTGCTGCTCCGACAGCACATACACGTCCTGGATGCCTCGCTCCAGCCTCTCCCCTGGCTGCAGGAAGAAAGACTTCTCTCCCTGGTGGGAGACATGGGGTTGGAACAGCTGCCACTCAAGGTTACAGATGCCACTGACGGCACCTCCCCCAGCCCAATCTGGCCTCAGGCTTGTGTTGAGGATAGGAGCCTAAAATGACTATCTACCTCCACCCTCACCCATATCACAACTCAGTGGAGAGTTATCTGGACTGTGAAGCTCTCTCAGGACCTGGATCCTTACAAGCTCAGTGGTTAAAAATTCACCTATTGTTCCTCTTCAGTTCTCCCATTTTTTGTTTTCTTGGGATGGTACAGTACAGGGGTTGGCAAACTCTGGCCTTTCGGCCAATTCCAGCCTTTTTAAAAAATATATATACTTAATGGAGATATAATTCACGTACCATAAAATTCATCCTTCTAAGTGTACAAATCAGTGATTTTAGTATATTCACAGAATTATGTAATCATCACTACTATTTGATTTTAGAACATCACTCCCAAAAGAAACCCCATACCCATTAGAATCACTCCTCATTCTTCCTACCCCTAGCCCCTGGCAACCACTAATCCACTTTCTGTCTCTATGGATTTGCCCATTCTGGACATTTCATATAAATAGAATCATACAATATGTCACCTTTTGTATCTGGCTTCTTCATTTAGCATAATGTTTCCTAGGCTTATGCGTGTTGTACAGCATGTACTGGTACTTCGTTCTTTTTAATAGCTGAATGACATTCCATTGTATGGATATACCACATTTTGTTTATCCATTCATCAACCGATGGACATACGGGTTGTTTCCACTTTTTCTGCCTCTTACTTTTATAAATAAAGTGTTATAGCAACACAGCCCCACCCATTCATTTTCCTGTTGTCAATGTTCCTGCCACAATGGCAGAGTTGAATAGTTGCAACAGAAACCAGATAGCCCATAAAGCCTAAATTATCTACTACCTGGACCTTGACAGAAAAGGTGTGCTGGCCCCTGGTGGTCCCATCTATAGTTCAGAGATGGGAAGAGTTTGTGTGAAGAGAAGGGTGAACTGAGAAATTTTTTAAAAATCAGCTATCATCAAATCCAAGGAAGTTAACATGCATGCACCCAGGGATGATAAAAGTTGCCAGAAGCAAGGGATGTGTAATGGAAGGGAAAGAGCTGCAGGGTCTCCAGGCTTGGGGGAAGACCAGGAAGGCTCTCAAAGAGGAGGCAGTTAGGTGGGACATTATTTCAGGCACACAGAACTATGTGAGTGAAGGCCCAGAGGGAGCCATGGCAAGCTTGGCGTTTCTGGAATGTGTGCCTGGGGTGGGAGGAGAGAACGGAGAAAGCCAGAGAGTCTCATGCCATTCCAGGGCATTTATGCTCCCAGGGCAGGCCTCTGGGTCAAGTGGGGAAGACTTCCAGCAGGAGGAAGAGGACGGTACCTTGACAACACATTTTTGCCCAAGCTGGTTCTTGCCATCTGGTCCGACTGGGTCGAGGATAACGCAGTAGTTGTGAGGGCCCAGGGTGGTGATGGGTACAACCCCCAGCACCAACTCATAGACATCTGGCACATGGGCCTCTGTGTCCTGCACTGTCACCAGCCATTCCTCCCCAGTGCGGCGGGTCACTCCCCTGAAGTCCCGGAAGTTCTGCCGAGCCCGGAGGTGCAAGGCTATCTGTAGAGCCGAGACATTGGGGGTGTTTGGGTAAACATACCTTCAGCTTCCTCAGGAGATCTTGGAATGAGCAGCAACTCCACCCAGTGGCCACTAAATGCTCCCAGGTCTGAGTGACAACTTCTACCAACCCAGGAGGCCTTTTTAGCCTTTTCAGATGACCCAGAATACTCCTCAGGTGATCTGACCTTTGATTTAATTTTATATTTTTAGTGGCCCTAGAAATATGAATTCTTCTACTCTTACATTCTGCCACTCTGAGTACTCCCTACGCCGGGGCCCCTTAAGTCACCATCCTCAGAGCACAAACCTTTTCCGTGAGGATCACAGCATCCACCAAATCCAGAACCTCTTCAAACACTGCTGGTAGGTATGCACCCACTGACCGGACCAGCCATTCTTCTCCTGCGCCAAGGACAGAGAGATAAGGGTCAAAGGTCACTCAGCCTGTTCCCTAGCTGCCCCTCCCCACAGCCTGGGCAACAGGGGACCAGCAGGGCTTTGTAGGTGACAATGCCACTGCATCTGGGCTCAAGGGCCTGATAGGAGTCCTTGTATTGGCTCCTTTCTAACCCAGCCCAGGAGAATAGAAAAGCCCTTCCAAGATTACCAAGTTGCTGTTATGCCAACACCCTGCTATGCTTCTCTAACAGCTGAAGTCCAACTTCTTCCTGCCCATCTTGGCCCTGAAATGGGCAGCAGATTTAATTTATTGAATAAGCAGAGTGCCTGGATACAAATCCCCAGCCTCACCCTCCTGGGCCTACACCCAGGGCAAGTGCCTCAGTTTTATCAAATGGAAAATAGGAATAGCAGTATCTCAATTGGACATGTTATCAGGAGGGACCAGTTCCTGGAGAAGGACATGATGCTTGGGAAGGTAGAGGGTCAGCGAAAAAGAGGAAGGCCCTCAACGAGATGGATTGACACAGTGGCTACAACAATGTTCTCGGGACTGGGCAGTGTTTTGTTGTTGTACATCGGGTCCCTATGAGTAGCAAATGACTGGACGGCACGTAACAACAACAGTATCTCAAGGCTCTGTGAGGATTAAATAAAGTAATATTTGTAAAGCATTTAGAACCATACCTGGCACAGGGTAAGGGCTGCATTTGTTAACTGTATTTGAATACCTGTTTTGTTAATCTAGAACCAGATAAGAAGGGGCCATTGCACCTAGCTCAGGGTGAAGAAGGGAAAGAAACTCATGTCAACATGATTATGATCACAGGATTGGGGCTGGGGTAGAGCCAGCATGAAATGGGAGATGGGGAAGCAGTGGCAGTCCCTAACTGCTTTCAAGAGCTACTGGGGAAGCACTTTCTCCAGAGCTAGAAGTAGCTTTCCCCAACCTTCCCCTACTTCCTCTGCAGCAGAGGCAGTCAGAGGCACTGCCTGCCCACCCACCGTCATAGTCCCTTCATGACCCCACCTGTCACCCTCTCCCTGCCATCCCGGTCCCGGCACTCCTTGCGGGCCCTCAGCCGCAGGGCCTGGTTCTGCCTGATGACTGTGGCCTGAATGATCTCCACGACCTCCACCTCCTTCTGGGGGATATATGTACCTGGGAAGGGAAGATGATGTGGAGATTAAAGGTCAGAGGATATTGGGGCTGAGGTGGGAAGGCAGGAAGGCCCTGACCCCAACTTGGGCTCTATGGAAGAGGAACAACTTACCAGGTCCTTCAAATAGCCACTCGTCTCCTGCCACCACCTTGTCTCCATTCTTATCCTCAAAATCCAGCAATGCCTTAAGATGCAGGGCAGTGTTGGGCAGAACCACCTGCAGCGGGGTGATGCCCTAGTGGGAGAAAGGGGTTCATGGGCAGCTGTCTTGGGACTCTAGAGGTCAAACCTGATACCTTGGAGATCAGAGCCCATGGCAACAACCTTTACATGTCCCGAAATAAGATCCTGGGTGGAATGTGTAAGGTAGGGGTAATTCCAAAGCCACCTGGTCTGAAGAACAAAGCGATGGCATCCACAGAGCTAGAAGATGCCATTACTGATGAGCCAGAATAACATGTTCCTCCTGCAGAAAGTGTTTAGAAATAGTGAAGTTTGGTTGCCGTCGAGTTGATCTGAACTCATAGTGACCCTATAGGACAGAATAGAACTGCCCCATAGGGTTTCCAAGGAGCAGCTGGTGGATTCAAACTGCCAACCTTTTGGTTAGCAACTGAACCCTTAACCACTGCACCTCCAGGGCTCCTTAGAAATGGTTTGGAGCTAGTAATTCACTATGAGGGAAACTGGTTAGAGGGCTTGGTGGGGGTTGTAGGAGAGACATGGGAAGCTGCATAAATAAATACTTCATGGCCTAGTGTGAGGAGGCTGTCCTTCAGACCAGCCCAACAGCTATGGTCTTCCCCATTCCTCCCCCTGCTAGCATCTTAGCCTCAGAACAAACCACCTCCCCCAGGCCTGATGTTTGTCAGCAGGGTTAAAAAGATGCAATTCCAGGCTAGGTGTCAAAGTGTCTAGCCACCTCCCCCTTCAGATGGTCAGGTGGGAAAATCTATATTGAGCTCCATGTAGTGAGACACATAGGCTTTGATGTATAAAAATGTCTAGGGGAGAGACTTGGAATCCCTCACCTATGGCACACATGTAGCAGAGCTTTCCATCCCACCTAACTAGTCTACCTAGCCAGGGAGGATTGGCTTAAGGAAGGCCCTTTGAGTCTCTTGTCTATGGTACAATGTGGGGTATGCATAGAAAAGTCACTATCTGCCCAGATAGCCTTTTCGAGTCAAGGGGGGACTGGCTTAAAAATGGATCTACGTTTATTCTGGTGTGCTGTCTGCTTCGTTTTGTAAGTAATAAAAGCTGCTTTCCTGTGCTGACACTCTGGGAGTGTCATGTGTGGTTCAGGCTCTGATCAGATGGATGTGATACACATGGAGAGATCACTATCAGTGGTGTCCTCTTCCTAATGGCATGGCTATTTAGGATCCTGGGACCACCAGAGAGACAACCCGTGAGTGTATCACACCAGTGTACCTTGTGACTTTCTAGGAAGTATAAGGATGCAGGAAGGTATAAACTGACATAACAGGTAAGCTTTAGGCATGTGGCTTTATCTCAAGGTTGCCTCATGGGCAAAAGATGGCCTTTGTACTCCAGTCATCACCTCTCTTTCTGTTAGGTAGAAAAGGGCCTGGCAAAAAGTACTCAAGCTTTTTATAAGTTTAATTTCTAGAAATACTTGTACAAACAGGACTTCATTTGATCTTTGACAATGTTCTGAAGGAGGCAAGAAAGCAAGAAAATAGAGGCTCACGGAAGTCAAGGGATGTGACCAAGGTCACACAGCTAGCAGGGAACAGAATCAAGACTTGAACCCAAGTCTTTGGTGAAGCCTGTCTGCCCCCCTTTCCACTGATGCTCTCTACTCTGGCTAGACGAGCCCTGAGGGAGAGAAGGAGATGAAGCAACTCTACCCACTGACCACAAACTAGGGTAGGAGAGAGGCAGAGCTGCAGGCTCACTGCTTGGGCAAGCCTTCTCTGTACACCTTCTATGTGCATGGCTCTCTGTCAGTTATGGTAGGGGCAGGAGATACCGCCTGTCATCCTGGGGTTTAAGTTCTATCAGGGTGATAAGACAGACACAGACACCTTCTCCAAGCAGAGTGCAGGCAGTGTCAAGGGAGACAAGCTCTACAGAAGTTCAGATGAAGGAGAGGGTAGGGAAGGTCCCCAGAAGGTGGTGTTTGATCTGGGGCTCAAACACAGAGCTGGCTTTTGAGACACATGTGGAAGAAGGAGAAAAATGGTGAGCATTTTGGGAAGAGTGTAGTCCAACATGTTTTCCACCTCCTGCATCTACTCTATCATCACTTCCTGTCTGTTCCATGCAAACATCCCAGGTCTACTTTGGTCTGTTCCTGCCATCACTGTGGTCTGAGTCATCAACATGTTTTCCTGGCTGATGGAATTATCTTCCCAACTGGTGTCCTGGCTGCCACCTTAGTCTCCTTCTAGCCCATCTCCCACACTGTTGCAGGCTTCTAGCTTGAGTGACTGGGTACACAATAGATGACCAAGTAAGACTGAGAATATGGGAGAAGGGATCTGAGGGTAAGGGAAAGTGGTAAGTTTTGATGTCCAGTATGAGGTAGCTGTAGAAGTGCTTCATAGGGTTTCCAAGACTGTTAATTTTTACGGAAGCAGACTGTTACATCTTTCTCCCGCAGAACAGCTAGTGGGTTCGAATCACCAACCTTTTGGTTAGCAGCCAAGCGCTCAACCATTGCACCACCAGGGCTTGGTCCTGTGCCATCCTCACAACTGTTGCTATGTTTGAATCCACTGTTGCAGCCACTGTGTCAATCCACCTTATTGAGGGTCTCCCTCTTTTTTGCTGACCCTTTACTTTACTAAGCATGATATCCTTCTCCAGCAATTGGTTCTTCCTGATAATGTGTTCGAAGTAAGCAAAATGAAGTCTTGACATCCTCACTTCTAAGGAGCATTCTGGCTGTACTTCCTCCAAGACAGATTTGTTCATTCTTCTGGAAATCCAAGGCAAATTCAATATTCTTCACCAACACCATAATTTGAAAGTGTCAATTCTTCTTCAGTCTTCCTTTCTTATTGTCCAGCTTTCACATGTACACAAGGCAACTGAAAATAGCATGGCGTAGGTCAGGGGCACCTTAGTCATCAAAGTGATATCTTTGCTTTCTAACACTTTAAAGAGGTCTTTTGCAGTACATTTGCCCAATGAAATATGTCGTTTGATTTCTTGACTGCTCCTTTCATTGACACTGATTGTTGATCCAAGAAGAATGAAATCTTTGACAAGTTCAATTTCTTCACCATTTATCATGATGCTGTTTTTTGGTCCAATTTTAAGGATTTTAGTTCAGGTAGAATCCATACTGAAGGCTATAGTCTTTTACCTTCATCAGTGAGTGCTTCAAGCCCTCTTCCCACTTTCAGCAAGCAAATTTGTGTCATATAATTAAACATGATATGACTTATATGTACCAGTGTGCAGAAATTAATTTGAAATATACTGACAAACAAAGGTATACAGCATGATAGCCTTTTTGTAAATAGATTATAATCAATTGGTCCAGAAAAAGGCATAGTAGAGAAGTTACAGACAAAAATGAAACAGAAATGATAGATGAGGGAAAAGGTCTTAAGAGATAAAGTGGGATATTTCAGATGCCTGGGTCCACCTGGATACAGGGGAACCTCCTCCAACAGATAGAAGGGAGATGAGAGTAGGTAAGGGAATGGGACACAGACCCAGATATTGCCAGATGGACTCAATTTTTAACTAAATAGGTAACCAAATTCTTCAAGAGTGGGGTGCAGAAAATAGGAAGAAAGTGGAAAACAATAAGTATTTAGAAGCATACAGAGAAAGTGAAAAGGTAGCTAGAAAGGAAGAGAACTGGTGGACAGAACTAAGGCTGGAAGCAACCCATTAATCCATTAGCTATTTATAATACTATCATCGTGGAGGCATCTGTCCACATGGCTATAGTTTTTCTAACAGGAACACTTTTCCTGAGTGTGAGAATGGAAAGGGTAGGTGGGATTTAACTCTGGTCCAGGACCAGTTTTGCCCCAGAGAGTCAAGGGTAGAGGAGTAGAGAGAGTTTGTGAGAAGTGTGGAAGTGATAAGGTCCTGTCGGAATAGCAAAAAAAAGACCAGGAAGAGAATCCAGAGATGGGTGAGAAGACAACAGAGGAGCGATAAGGAAGGGAGGGAGCTGGTGGGAAGGAAGAGGATGGAGTTTAGATCTCAGAGTTGGGGCAGGTGAGAGAATAACCAAGTCCAGAGTGGACGTGGTACTGGGCAGGGGCTGAAGCAGAACAGAACTTGTGAGGGTCCTCAGAGTTGAGGTCAATAAGGCCAAGTTGTTGGCAGGGCCATCTGCAAGGATATTAATGAGGGTTCTAGGACAGAAGGATGGATGGGGGTGGAAGGGAGGTCTGAGCCAGGGGCCCACTGAGCTAGTGATGGTGGGAAATGAAGTGATGGTGCTGCCAGAGGTGAATGCCTTGAAGGAGGAGTGTTGACTCAAGGGTAAAAAAAGAACGTCTAGTGGCATTGGGCTCCAAGGAGGGAGAGGCTTTGCCCTCCTGGTCTGAAGCACCCAGGATTTGACAGAATGACCTTCTACCATGGGCAGGGGCTGCTGGGGAAGCCCAAATCCTTGAGGCAGCAGAGGCTAAAACAGGGCAGGCATGAGGAAAGTTTTTACTCTCAGTCCTGGGGAGCTTTTAAATACTGATGCCTGGACTACTCTCCACCCGCACCCAGAGGTTGACTTAATTGGCCTGGGGTAGGGCCAGGACATGAATTTATTGTTTAACTTTTAATTTGGACAGTTTCAAATTTACAGAAAATTGCAAGAATAGCACAAAGAATTCCCATATACTCTTCCACCCAGATTCTCCAAGGGGTAACATTTTGATCACATTCTTCATCATTTCTTCTCCATACACACTATTCCCCTCAAGCTATTTGCATCTAAGTGAGCACCAATGCTTTAGAAAGCCCCCCAGGTCATGCTATTATGCACCCAGGATCAGTAACCACCAAGAGTTAGTAGAGGAACCCAGAGTGAAAAAGTATAAAATGGCAAGAAGATAAAGGGAAGAGAACAGTTAAGGAAATGGGGGTGGGATGTTCCTCTGCTCCTGGCCCAGGGCCTTAGGGCAGCACGGACAAGGCATTGGTGGAATTCAGGCCTCCGATGCCTTCTCTTGGAACAGGCCATCTGAGCCTGGACCTTCACTTGTCCATTATTGTTTTGTCACTGCCCAACACTGTCTGGCACTGTTCGTGTGAATGAAATGCATAAGTCATTTAGTGCCAGAACTGGCTGGGAGCTTCCAGCAGCCTCTGAGCCTGGTAGACTAGGTGATGAGATGGGCCAACAGTTCACAAAGGAGGGGTCATCTGTTGTGGGCATGTGTGGAGGAGGGGGTGATTGGGGGAAGATGATGAAAGGGGGATGAGTCAATTCTGCCCCACTGAGAGTCAGCAACTGTCCCTTCCCAGCCCCTCCCACTATCCCAGGTTGTTTTCCCCTCAGAAGGTAGTGGGGTGCCCTAGGACAGGGTGGCAGGACAGGGAGAGTGGGCACAGGCGAGGCAAGCCAAGATACCTTTTCCAGTGTCTCCCCTGGGTATAAGGGGAAGGGGTCCTGGGCCAGCCGGATCTCCAGGTCAGCATGTCGAAGCCGTACTTGTCCTGTGACGTCAAACTGCACTGAACCCTGGGCATCCCGGGACACAGGATTGGCCACTGTGCAGTAGTGGCGTGGGGGGACAGTCACCATGGGCACAGGGGCAAACAGTACCCTGTTGGAGGGTGAGAAGAGGGGTGAGGGCCCAGGCAGGGCCTCCCCCAACTCCCAGAGGAGGCAGTGAATGGGAGAGAAACCTGCCCACCTATTCCCTCAGGAATCCCCCTGTCACCTGAGGGAGGGCCACTCCTGCCTAAAAGAAGGAAGAAGGGGACTGGGGACTGCGACCATGACAGCCAGCCTAATGAGCACTCCTCAGCCCCAAGGGCTCCACACACAAGCAACCCCACACTGACCTCTCATTGTCCTGCCGGATGTAGGTCTTTGGCCCAACCTCCACGCGGGACACATTGCTGTTCTGGTCCAGGACATGGATATAGTGGTATGGAGGGATGCGGATGATGGACTCTTCTGTTGCCATGGTGATCCCAGGACTGGCCAGAGTGCAGCACAGAGAATTACAGACAGGTGGGGGAGAGGACACAGGATGAGCACGTGGAGTGGGCCAAGGAGGAAAGTCTCAGGAGGGACTGTGGTTGGGGGAATGGACCGGTCCTCCTCCAACTCTGACTGTTCCATGCTTCAGCACAGCCAGTGCCCTCTGCCTTTCTTCGTCCTACCCAGCATAACACGCCCATCGAGACCTCACCCTTGCCAAGAACTACCTGACGCATTAACCACTGAAGCTCAGAGTTCTTTGCTGACTCCCTTCCCTCCCTCCCACTAACATCACCTCCCCTAAACTGCCTTAGATCAAAGCCCCAGTCCCCACAGAGTGTGGGTGAATTGGTCCTTCTGCAAAGGCAGTGGGCCTTCAGCACAGAGGGGAAACAGTGGCTCTGAACAGCTTGCTGGCTCTTGGAGGCAGGCAGCCATTATTCCAGGAGATCCTGAGGGCTTCAGGTGTGTTCAAATATTTCTTATAAATACACCCCAGAGCCAAAGAATGTTTGCATGATCTTTATCTGCACCCCTACCCTTCTTTGTACTTTAAACAATCCTGGATTAACTGTTAAGACATGGTCCTCCTCTCATGGAAGGAAACCCCTGACAGAACTGATGCTCCCAGAGAATCCGTTGGACTGGAAATACACAAATCATTCTAGCCTTTTCCTCCCGAGTTCCCTCACCCTTGGCTCTCTGCTGCTATAGGCAGGGATGGCAGTGGGTAGAAAGAGGAAAGGAAGTAAATGAGTATGGTATTCCACCTACCCCCATCCTACCTGCTTCTGATCCATGTGGTTGACCGAAACCCCATCCCAACTGCCAGCACCTTTGGACTTTGGACATGTTATAACTCAAAGGGAACCGAGTTTACTAGGTGACTTAGAGCCTTGTCCTCTGAGACATTGGCCTGACATTTTTGAAGTTACTACCAGAAAGCAAGAGCACCTCTTCAACTCAACCATTCACCCAGCTTCCAACCTGGGTGAGGAATGGGAAGCAAAAAAGAAAAGGGGTAGCTTGGCATAGGAAAAATAGGCAGGAGCCATGAAATTACAGAATCAAGGCTGAAAGCAGCCCAAGAGAAGAGTTTTACATGGTGCAGTGCAATGAGCTTGTCTTATATATGGCTTTTCTTGCCTGGGTTTGTAGTTCTGCCAAAAACAATTGGTCAGGCTGTAGCCTGCCCCATGATTGGTCTACTTTATGCACTTTTCAGGGACTGGTCAGTCTATTATGCAAATAGAGTGTGTAAAACCACTCAATAGGATTAAGTGACCTTGTGGGAATTGGTTGATACTATGCAAATTAAGCGACTTTGGTCCACCAAGGGGATTGATCAGTTTGTGGTCTGGTAGGAGGGCTATGGCTTGAAACCGACAAGAAGTAGGCTTATGTAAGGGCCAAATGCACAGAGGTTAAGGGGGACTTCACTATCATCAAGAAGATACTGGAGCAGAGTACCTCCTTTGGACTCGGGGTCCTTGCGCTGAGAACCTCCTAAACACAGGAGACAGAGAGCTGTAACACTAAAGATGGGGCAAGACAGCATAAGAGGGCTCAGCAGCATGAACGGCAGCAGGATAAGTGACCGGAATCAGGAGACTGGTGTGAGGCATCTGCAATGGGCTTGTCAACACACAGCAAGAGACAACTGAGAGCCTTTGGGCAGGAGGCTTGCTGGCGGAGTAGGGTGCCTCCAAGCACTTGTCAGCGGAGCTAAAGAGTTGTAGCACTTGCCCAAGCACAGCAGTGGCCCAGAGAAGGCCTAGCAGTGGGCATGGCCGAGAGAAGGGTGGCCTGCCTGAGGGAGTGGCTGAGGAGAAACTAAAAGTTGTCTTGGTTGGAAGCTGTCTTGATTGATGAACTGCATCCTGTTTCCTGAGTTGTATCCTGTTACTTCCACGCTGATCCTGATCCCGAGTTGTAGCCTGTTACTTCACTAACAAACCACATCATCGTGAGTATGGTCTGTGAGTTCTGTGTGGCCCCGTCAATGAATTATTGAACCCAGCAGAGAAGCAGAGAGTGCCATGAGGAAGACAGCTACTGTCAGAAATTGTGAAAAAGTTGGAGAGTGGCAATATGTCTGACCGCCACCTCACAGCAATCAGCTTTGTGCTGATAATGATTCTCATCCTGCCTCATGAATGTAGACTTGAGGTCTGACACTAGTATATTACACATGGTCCACATCATCTTTAAAATTTCAATTTTTTGGATGGCATTTAAAAGTTATGAGTTTTCACACAGTCCTCACTTCCCACTTCTCTTGCAGAATTAGGAGACCAGGAACACTGGACCCACATTCCCACATGGCAAAATTGGCTGGAGCCAACTAGCAGCTGTGCTACATATGTGGGCACAAGCATTCCACTCGCTGCAGTCCCCACCATTCCCTGATGTCTTATACCTGGGTCACTGGCCTCACATCCTCTGCCTGGCTCCTGTGTGCATTTAAATTTACCACCTCTGCTCTAGTTTAAACTTTCTAAATCAGCACTGTCCAATAGAACTTTCTGTGATGACGGAAAAGTTCGAAATCTGCGCTGTCTTTGGACTATCACGTGTGACTTTGGAGCACTTGAAATGTGGCTAGTGTGACTGAGGAACTGACTTTTAAGGTTGAATTAAATGTAAAAGACCATATGTGGCTTGTTGACCTCTGACTGGACAGTACAGCTCTAAATAGCTGAGACCCAGATAGGACAATGAGTTATTCAGGATCTAGTGTCTGATCCTATTTTTCTAAAAGGTGATATGGTACAGTGGTTAGGGGCATGGATTCAAAGCCAGACTGCCCAGGCTTACACTGCTCATTTGTCCTGTCCATACCTTGAAAAGCCCTGGTTGGGCAGTGGTTAAGTGCTCGGCTGCTAGCCAAAAGGTCAGTGGTTTGAACCCACCAGCCTCTCTGAGGGAGAAAGCTGTGGCCATCAGCTTTCGTGAAGATTATTACAGCCTTGAAAACCCTATGGGGCAGTTCTATTCTGTCCTCTAATGTCGCTATGAGTCAGAATTGACTCAACAGCAACGGTTTTTTTTTTTTTTCCTTTTAAATTGTTTCCTTAATGTCTTACTTCATTTGAAAGAGGTTACAGTTTTGATCTGCTTTCCTGGTACACTTTCCACACCAGAGGGCTGTTATTCTGCTCCTCTTTGTTTCATCTTGCAACTTTGTATGGGACTTCACCTTACATACTGATACTTTTCTGTGGCTCATTTTGATGTGAGGTTAGTTTCCCCGAACTTGTAGGAGGGTGGCTTTTCTAGCTTCAGAGCTCCCTCTTCTGTTGTTTTCCAGTAGTGTGCAAAAACACAGGGGCTCCCTTTCTAGTCTCCTGACTCTGTCCCCACTCCCCACCCGACCCCCTACCCCCCCACCCCCAGTTATCAGGCCTTTCTCTCTCCTTCCTTCCTATTTCCCTGTCCTTCTCAGGTTGTCCCCACTCTCCTAAGTTGTTCCCAGTGTGGGGTCTTGTCCTGGAAAGAGTACTTTCAAGAGTCCCCGGGGGCTGGGACTGCCTGGGTCTAACACTTATTCGCTGTGTGATCTGAGACAAGTCAGTTGACCTCCCTGTATGTCAGTCTCCTCATCTGTAAAACGGGCATGGATAATGGCAGCTACCTCAGAGTTATAAGGATTAAGAGATTTACTATATAAAGTCTTCAGAGCCTGGCTCAGGTTTTTTCTGCAGAGGCAGGGAATAACCCCTGAAGCCCAGCTTTCCTATTCAGTTAGGGGAAGTGACAGCACCAGAGGCTCCCTACCCCCCTGGCATCCCGGCCTTAGCGCTCACTTGTTTACTGTCGGGAGGGTGGCAAGTCTGTGGCGTCCCAGCTGTGGGGCTAAAAGAACAGCAAAGCAGGGGCACCGGACAGCCAAGCGGAGCCTTTTCCAGCTGCTCCGTTGCCAGGTTCTCTACAGGGGTGGGAGCCTGGCCAGGAAACCAGATGGGGAAGAGGAAGGGCCAGGGCTGCAGGAGGAGGTACAGACAAGGCTCTGTGAGGCTCCCCAAGGGAGATCTAAATTCTGGAAGGCCACAGAGGGCTAGGAGCCGGCTCTGGGAATAGCCTTGGTTGGCTCCCTGTTCGATGATCCCACATCCCCCAGGGCTGAGGCCTCCCCACCATCTGCCACCCCAGCTGGGCCCAGTCAGGGGGACTGAGAGCTTCACCCAGCTCAGTGACTCAGCTGAGAATCATCCACTTAGCTGATAGGGCTGGGCTGGGCTCCTGCCTTGTTCTAAGGCCAAGTCTTTATTGAAGTACCAGGACCCTGTTTTCCCTTCCTCACTACCCACCTGACCTACTATGCCTAGAAGTAGGTCCACCTGCCAACTTCACCCAGAACAGGTTTTGCCTTCTTACGCTTGCCACCCCATCCTTCCATGGAGGTGAGCCCAATAGGGGCCTCTCAGGGGATCCAGGCAAACCATTTGACTCAGCCAGCATGTCCCTGACAAGTCTCAGATTTAGACCTTTGTGGTTTACCAGATGACACTGTGTACAGTCAGATCATTTTATTTCCAATATATTGAGGCCCTCAAAAGACAATGGTTATAACTGTGTTAATATTTGGAAGGTCTGACCCAGCCCTTGGGATTGGCCCCAACTCCCACAATCTACCCACCCTCCCACCTACCCAGACCTCCCTTCAGTCTTTGCCTCTGACATCCATCCCCTATTCTACTCTCTTGCCCAATCACACTTTCTTCAAGTGTCATGAGGCTCCTGCATGAACCCCACTCGACTAGTGCTAACCACTGCCAACTTTCACCCAAAGTCTTGCAGAGACCAGTGTCTCCCCTGCACACAAAGAAGGGAGGGGTAATGGTTGGGTAAGGTGAGAACAGAACAGCCTGTAAGAAGCAGAGGCTGATTTCACCTTCTAGTCAAGAGACCAGCCTCTTGGCTCAGAAAGTAAATCTGTGCTACAGCATAAATAAATAAATAAATAAATAATGAATGACTGAATTACTATAAAGAG